ACGGCGGGTGTTGGCGGCCACTGTCTGTCTTCGGGTGTGATTGGTCAGGCCCCACGTGAGGGCTCCCACAAGGACCCTGTTCCAGGGAGGGGCTGAGAGTCTCCTCACGTCGGGTCCCGGAGTTTCCACCTTAAACCTGGTCTCTGCTGGGCGTGGGGTTGTTGCTGTGGCAGGTCTGTTGCCGGTGCGCGGCGAGTCAACACGCAAGACGCCGGCTGGCGGCAGAGAAAAAGGCTTCGTTGTGGGCGAAGAGGCGGGCATAGCCTCAGGCCTGGTGTCCCAAGGAGTTTGGGGCGAGGAACCCCAGGCCTTGGAGCAGGGTGAAGTGTGGTGAGGGCTGACTGCCGAAGAGTGTGTGGTGGGTTTGTGGGCAGACACGTGAAGATACATGCTCTTGGCTGACGCCGGCCCTCTGAGGGTCTCGAGGCTGGTGGCATCCACTGTTGTGCCAGGATTCAGGGTCTTCATAAGCAATTCTTTAAGAAGCCTGTTGATTCTGGGGCCAGAGCTCCTGCCTCTAAGATCATTGGGGCTGCCAGTGGCCCGTACCCAGTGCCATGTGACTCTCCAGCTCCCAGCAAGAGGCCAGCAGCAGCCTGATTCATGCTGAATCAGACTCCATTTCTACCAGACTCCTTGCTAGCCCTGGGATTACGGCTGTAGGGTCTCTTGAGGAGGAATTTAGGTCTCTGGGAGCCAGAACTGGGCGCCTGCGAAGGGTCCTGGGGAAAACTCCGTGGAAACCCTTGAACACACCTGCAGAAGCATGGTGTGGCGATCCAGGGCCCTGAGGGTGTCCTGCCATTTGCACGTTCTGGTGGTGATGTGCCTTCTAGCTGGGATTGACACTGCATCGTGAGGTCTGCTGCTCGGTCACTAGACAGGAGAGAAAAGATGCAGGGACAGGCAGCTCCCCTCCAGGGAGGGGAGGGCTGGGAAGCACTGTGTGAGGGGTGACCAGGGCACCCCAGGCCCAGCTCTGCACGCTCGACTGCACCACTTCTGGCTGGTGCTTAGAGGATGGCTGTCAAGGAAGCTTCTGAGTCAGCACCAGCTACGCCCGTCGGGGAGGCCCACCAGGAAGGCTCACTGGGAAGCTTCAGAGGCCGGAGTGGGAGTCTCCCAAGCCTGAGGGCCCAGACTGGAGCCCGTGAGCCTGAGAGCCCCTCAGCCGGGTCCCCTGGCCTGACCAGGGGAAGAGGGCTCGTGCTCTTTGTGGAAGGACCGCACAGTGGGAGCCTGGATTTAGAGATGTTCGTGCCTGGCTGTAGATCCAGAGACCCTTCAGGGCCCAGGGTGCCTTCCTGGGTCTTTGTCAGCCCCCGAGGCCTCAGCAGTCCCCTGAGGTCTTGTTGGCTGAACTTGGACTGGTTCCTGGCTCCTCCTTCCCCAGAGTGTCCTGGGGACAGAGCCAGGCAGGGAGGGACAAGCCTTGCCCTGTCCCACCACTTCTGGGTGTCCTGATGCGATGGCCTGGCTCCTGGGGGTTGGGACCTCCCTCCTCGAAGCCCCTTCTGACCTCCCAGCTCTCGTGTAGCAGGAAAAATAGAGAGATCGTGACACCGAGACTATTATAGGAAGTGGCACTTTACTACGCTGGCCGGCCCAGTGGACTTCTAGGGGCTAATGCGTCCAAATTGAGTGCCCCAGAAAGGGAGAAGTGGGGTCTTATACCCTTGTTTAGGTAAGGGAGGGGGTCGTGTTGAGTGATTACATATTTCCTTTGGAATCTTACAAGGTTGTACTCAGCAAAATCAGATTTTTCTAAGAACAAATATTTTCCAGGAACTGCAGGCTTGTAAACCATCAACTTCAGAAGGGGGGTTTTAGATAAGACTCTTTTCCATTTCCATGAAATGGCCAGTCTCTGGGCCATTTGGCCTTTCTGAAACAAAACCTGCCTGGAGCCTGGCGGGTCTTTAAAGTTGCAGCTTGCCTTTCAAAAGGAAATACCTTTAACTGCTATTAACTCCTCCTTCCTGCTACTGGGCTAGTGGGAGATATTCAGTCAGCCCAGGTGAGGCCAACTGCTGATTCCGAATCAGCTACATGTGTTTCTGTGTTTATTCACTCAATCATACAAGAAATATATTTGAGCATTTGCCGCATCCTGCCACAGTTGCTCTTCTCCCAGTCTTTAGGCCGGACCCCTCCCCCCAGAACTAAGTGTCACAAAGAAACTGTGACTAGAAATGTGTGTCACATCACCTGTGCAGTAATTGATTCATCCAACACGCAACCACTGAGCGCCTACTGTGTGCCAGGCAGATGCCAGGTGTGGTGGCCCTGGACGACACCTAGTTATGCCCCAAGAGCCGTGTTCTGAGAGCAGACGGGAAGCTGGGAGGTGCCCTGAGCTCAGTGACATACACATGGGGTTGGGGACAGGCAAGCCCGGGCCCACAGCAGCATCCCAGGAAAGGCCAGCAAGGCTGTTTGGAAGGAGAAGCGGAAGTGAGTCCAAGGAGGCTGGCGGAGGGCGGCCGAGAGAACGTCTCAGCCAGTGGAGACGCTCGCTTCCGGCAGACAGCCTTGTTCATCTGGAGGGGGCCGAGTCCCTGCCCTGACTGAAGGACATGCCCCCATGTTCCCCTGGTGCCCTGTGTGAAGCTTCCAATGTGTGTTCCTGTCATTCTATGCACCAGAAGCTAGTGGCAATGACTCCAGAATTGACAGGCCCTGGGGACGGGCCCGGCCAGGGAAGCAGGGCCATGGCATCATCTCTATTTTTAGAGGAGCTTCCCATTTGGACACCAAATGCCCCACCCAGACCCCCCCCACGCTCTGATGACTCCTGTTCCCTAGGTCATGGTTCTGTTGAAATGGGAAGCCTGTCGGCTCAGAGCTAGCTGGTCTCTCTCCTGGGCAGGATTTCACAGATGCCTGGAGGTTCCAGCCAAGACCGCACTCCGGTGTGCAGGGAGGGTTGTCTGGTCACGCCCTCGTCAGGGTGGACTGCTCTGGGACCTTCCCAGCCCCTACCCACATAGTCCTTCTGGACTTTCTTTGTCAAAAGCACAAGAACCAGTTTACTAGCATGGGAATTTGCCAAAACTCAGCCGCATGGAAGCTGTCTTAATGGTCATGTTGCAGCATCTGGGCACCTCGGACGCAGACAGGAAGCGGAAGCTGATGTTTCTGGCGTATCCGACACTCTGTCAGCACAGTCAGTGAAGTGCAGCCATGGCCCCTAGAAGGGTGGTGGTATCCAAAAGACCAACTGCCCCCCCGGTCTCTGTTTCAAAAGGGAGATGCTGACCAAGACCTGCGGTCGGGTGACTGTGTCCCCGTGTCCATCTGCCACCTGCAGCTCACACCAGAGCTGCTGACTTCACAGCTGTGTCTGGGACAACCGAATCCCATGTTTACCGCCCTTCAGAGCTCTGCCTCCCGCCTCTCTCCCCTCTGTGGGGACGTGAGGGCCTACCGGCTGTGTATGTACCCGCCGGGTCACTGCCTCTGGGGCTGCTGGGCCTGGGAAACTGTGCAGGCGCAGGACTCTCCCTCAGTTCCTCATCTGGACCTTCCGAGCCCCCTCCCATTCCCCGGGGGTGACCGTGGTTGTGGGTGTAGCTGGAGGAACCCATGGTGAGTGTGGCGAGTGGCCAGCCCCAGGCGGCTCCCCACTGACTGCGTGTCCTAGGCACTGACCTGTCCCTCTTCGAGGGGTGGGGTGAGGAGGTGCCCCGAGCTGGACTGAGTGTGCATTTGTTCCCAAGCAGTGTTGGTGTCTCTAGAGAAACATGCTCAGCAGGAAGGTAGAGGGGGGGATGGCGTGAGAACGCTACTGCCAAGGCCATCGGGGCTTGTCTCACCTTGGTCTTTCGCTGGGTATTGGGGTGGGCCTATCTGACCCCACCTGGACGAATGGAGACTCGCAGAGTTTTAGCATGTTAAGGAGTGTCCAGTCCACTCCTCCGATGACAGGCGGGACCTGGAACCCGCAGTGGACCGGCACGGAGTCCGAGGCCCGCGGCATCTCCTCCAGCTCTCACCTGTGTGTCGACATGGTGGGCATCCGATGCAGCCTCCCTGCACGCATTTCCCAACACCCAACTGGCACCCCTGGGGTGGGTGTGCACCCCCTGGACATCCAGGCACCCCAGCCTCGCTGGCACTGGGCCCGTCTGGCGGGGATAGGGGTCATGTCGCTTGCTGGCTTCCAAGGGGAGGCTGCAGAAGACACCTTCCTCCAGGGCCCACGGCTTCCTGCAGGCGAGAGGGGCTCTGGGCTGTCCTGGCACGTGATGGTGGTTCGGATGTCAGGCATGACAGTGTCCCGACGGGGTGTGGAAGATGGGGCTCTCTCTGGCAGCCCCAAGCCTGATCTGGAACCCGATCGGTCGGGGCCCCCACAGGCCGGGGGGGAGCCGTGTCCCTGGCCAAGGCTCCATGGGCAGCCCCTGAGGAGGCTGTCCAGAGACGGGTGGGTGTGGCCTCAGCGGAGGGTGGCCGGACGCTCCTCAGAGCCACGCCCTAGGCCGGGGCTCCCAGATCTCGGACAGTGTGGCCACGTGCTGATCAGGCCCAGGAACGGAATGGCCACAACAGGCTGCAGTCTCGACTGGATGCCCGTCTTTCCCAGAGGCGAGATGGGCACCCCCAGCCTGGTGACTGTCACGCATCACTCACAGGGGGACCCGGGCTGGAGGTGGTGCAGCCTCGGACGCCCCTCAGCTGGACTCTCTCGAGAAGTCTCTTGCCTGCTATTGTTATAAGAGCTCGGAGTGAGGCCAGACGCGTCTGCGTGTGTGTCTCCTCCTGCCAGCCTTGGCAGCCCAGACCGGGCTCTGTTAAGGCCCCGAGACGTGGGCACGGGGGGAGCGGGACCCCGTGGGGCCTTCTTTTTCCTACCAAGTGGGTCCAGGCCTGGGCCGAGACCCTCAGCATGCAGGTGTCTGAGAGGCCGCCTGTCTCTCTTTCGGCGGACGGGCTCCCGGGGGCC